ATCTGCTTGGGGGAATTGGCATCTTTAATAATGATAATAATCCTTGCATTTGATAGAGCGCTTTTCACGTAAATAGGCTGCCAGTACCTTGGTTTAATATTTTGTTCAATGCAGCCTCCCACGCACCCCCCCGCCCCCCCACTTCAGTGCTACACCAGTGTGTCCTGATATAGGGCTTGAATTTACAACCTCCTAACCTAGAGGCGAGAGGGCTACCAACTGAGCCAGCCTGACAGAAACGGAGCCTGGCTGACACTGACGCACTCGCACTCATTTCGTGCTGTTGTGCATTAATATACACATATGCGCTTTGAATCGCATCAAGTGAAACCGATCGCTGTTTTATAAGTAATATCATTTTGTTTCAGTTCATAAGATTCCCACCACTCTTACCACGGGACCCTTCCAATCCACTACAGTTATTAGTAAACTGTACCTATCAAGGAGAAATCAGATGCAGCTGAAATCGGAAAAAAAATGTATAGTTGACCAAGCAGATCTCAGTTCCCTCAAAGACTTCCCTTTCTCTGGTTTCTTCAAATCTTGGCCGGCTCAAATTTTTTCTTCTTTTTTTTCTCTCCGCCCTCCACGCAGAATAATTTTTTTTTTAAAAAGCCTTTCCCTGGTTGAGAGGATACATTTAAAGTGCGCTGGATTGACCTACCATACCCAGTACGGTGCTCCGTTGTAATACCCCGCTGCTCTGCGTACCTACCCAGGCTTTGTAAAGTGCTCAGCGACATTAACGTGCGTGCAGGATCCTACATAAATTCAACCCGATGTCTCCCCAGCAAAGGCTTGGGGACCCCAGAGTGTGCGTAGGGGGTCTGCTGGAGACTGACCCGTTAAAAAGGCATGGCTTGCCATTGACATCGCTATCCGTTAAACACATTTTCATCAACAGGGTTACACAGAGTATTATTGCGATTGAGATCTTTCCTGGATGCAATAATAGAAGGTTACGCTGGTAGGCGTAGTTGAGGAGGGGGTAGGAAGGAGGCTCAGGTGGAGCATAAACACAGGCATAGACCAGTGGGGCGAACGGCCTGTTTCTGTGCTGTATATCCTAAGTAATAAGCAAAAAGGTACATCTCCTTGTTTTTAAATGGGTGGAGCCTTACCAGCCACAAAGCAAAAAACCTCTGTTTTGTGCTTCACACATTTGACTACATCAATACCACAATCTGCTCCAGATCGAAATCTTCACGAAACAAAACACCTTTGGCTACCCAAGCACGTTTGGCAAATGTTATTCAGTGTTATTCCAGTCCACCGAGTGTCACTGGAAGGGTAGGGCGCAGGTTACAAGGCGTAGTGGGTTGAAAAGGTCACGTCATTTCATTGAACTTGAAAGCGCACTCAGCAGTGAAAAAAATATATCCTTACAAGTTCAATAAAAAGGTTAGCAATTTCAGGGACATCAAGTTTGAAATAAAACTTCAAGTTCGGAAACTTGTGCATCCATCCAAAATGAAGCTTGCTCAAAACAGTAACCCTCCTCCCCGTTTATTATTTGTTTCGGAGTTTCTGTGTGCCGATGCTGGTGAATTGAACATTTTGTTTTTTTTCTGAAATCTCGTGTCAGTGTTGACGAGTGTTCACAATGTCATGGAACTGACCAAGGTTATTCAGCAGAATCATAAAGCACAGACAGGCCTTCCAACCCATAGAGTCTGACCTTTTCTTCCACCTAATCTGGAGTCCTGTAGTTCAGTGGTGAGAGCACTTGCCTCGCAAGCGAGAGACCTGGGTTCGATTCCCAGCAGGGCAAAACCTTGGGCAAGTTTCCTTACTCATAATAATCCCTCAAGAAAAGAAAACAATAGTAAAATTGTTCACTTCAATCCACGGCTGTTTGTGGGACGCTGCTGTGCGCAAATGGCTGCCGGCATTTCACCCACAAAATATACAGTCAGTTCACTTTAGAGTATATTCTGTGAAGCGTTTTGAGACGTCTAGAAGACGTGAAAAGCGCTACATCAAATTCAAGGATTATTATTATTATCATAATTATATAATCTAATCCCATTGATAGCAACAACACAAACGTGATTGACCAATTGGCCTCCAACTGTACTTTTTTTTAATATAACACAAAGATTATCCATGCCATTTGGGACTGACTCTATTGCAGACGAGCAAAATAATGTGGATGATTGGACGTAATGCAAAATACAAATTGGTGGAAATACAAAATGAGTGAAAGTATAATTAAGGATTATGCTTTCACTAATGCCAGCCTATCTCTTTCTCTGCCACTCTGAACCTTATGACTCTCTCTGTCTTTCTCTGACAAAATATTAACTGTAGGCAAAAATATAAATCCCTCCCATTTGCTCTCATGGCTTCAAATCCCACGTTGGGACTTTGGAGTTGATAGTCTAGACTGACATGCCAGTGTAGTGCAAGGCTAGAGAGGTTCCGTCAAAGCTAAGTCCTGTCAACTGATTCAGGTGAACGTCAAAGAACCCATGAAACTACTCAAAGAGAGAAGGGAGTGTCTCTCTCTCTCTTCTCTCTCTGTGTCCTGGCCGAGAATCTATAGTTTAAAAAAATTGATCGTTCACAAATGCAAGGATTACCCCGTTATCATTCCACAACACCAACCCTACCTTCCTCCCCATGACAACCACAACCTGCATTTATAAGGCGCCCTTCATATAGGGTGGGATCTCAGAGCGCTTGACAGTGGCAGAGCCGGTTGCAAAGCCAGCGGGAGGAAGGCGAGGTGGTGACCGTAAGCCTGGTCGGAGAGGAAGGTCTTCAGGCACGACCTGAAGATGGGGATGGAGGGAGCAAGGCAGAGGGATGGAGGGAGTGTTCCAGAGTTTCGGGGTGCAGTGGCTTAAAGTGCGGTCGCCGATGGTGTAACGGAGGGCACGAGGGATAAGGAGGAGGCCAGAGCCAGCCAAGTGGAGTTTCATGACAGGAGCAAGCTGTTTGTTAATTAAGTTACTTGTCCAACCTTAACCAGCTGCCCTCACAAAGCGAGTTCAGTTTGTACAGAGGGAAATTGTGCAGAGGGAAATTGCAGGAAAGCTAAGTACATTTTGTACTTGATCATTTACCTCGCTCCAAGTAAATATTGTGAAACTAATCGGTATTTGTGGCCGATTTCAAATTAACTTTTATTTCAAAATAAAAGTGTAGGTCTCCTCAATAAGAAAAATGTCCTTCCAGCTTGCCAGCACCTACTCCAATTAAAAAAGAAAGCTGGCTTCAAAATGTAAGGCTGCATTAAGAATTTGCATCCATAAAATGATCTAAAAGATTAAGACTAGGTGAGTCCATTATACCTACTCAAGTCAGTACAAGTAGATCAGCTACAGAAATCTACAAGGACAGAGCCTGGATAACCAGCAAAAACAACAACTTGCATTGACATAGTGCCCTTCACGCCGGGTAGCATCCGAGAGCGCTTAACGATGGCGGAGTCTGACCCCGAAACAACATATAAGGTGGGGGTGGGTGTTCCTTTAAAGGATCAGCTGCATAAGAGAAGAAGAAATGCTCGTAGGGGAATAAACGTTTTCCAGTTTATTCTCTCTGGATATTTCCTGCCACCTCCAGTATCAACTAACTTGCTCCTTAAAAGGTATTTGCTGCTTACTGCCAGAACCTTTGGAGGAATGCAAGGGTGATGCCAAACGGACCTAGTTCAGAAGTTCCATTTCAGCTTGACAATGTTTTTAAAACACGCAGGTATTTTATGCTTTTTGGCAAACTTCCCCCCCCCCACACGCACACACACACAAATCAGCGCACCCCACAAATCAGAACTCGCATCTCAATCCCAAGCCTTTTCAGGTAGCCAGTCCACCACAATTTCCAGGCTTCCTTCCTCTTTACATCCCATCATTTCCTCACCTACCAAAAAGTATCTTTTTTTTTAATGCCACAACCCACTCCATGTCTGTGGTTCCCTGAGGCAGCCCATCCCACATCTTTCTGAACCTTAGTATAAAGATTTTGTTTCAAGGTTTAGCTCTTACGTTAAGATGCAGCCCTCTCCGGCCTGGGATTCTCTAACTCACCGAGAGAGAAACTCAATTTGAGCAGGTCCCAGTAAGTCACAGTTAATTGTACTTATTAAGCATTTGAGTGTTAATGGTTTGAAGCTACAGCTGGAGGAATAAGGTACAGATTAACACGAGGTCCCAGCCCTGGTCGATATCCATGGTTGATCAACAAATAGACAAGCTAGAGCTCTTCAGTCTTGACCAATGGGACCTTGTAGAGCTGTGTACAATTTTAAACGGGATTGAAAAAGTAAACTCACAATAGGTTTGGATGCATCAGGACAGAATAACGAGAGGGCACAAAGGTTGAGAGTCAGAAAAGGATAATTTCAAGTTGGGCAGCAGGAAGTTTTCTTAACTCACGGGGTGATTAATGACTCAAACAAGTCACCAGAAAGGGTGGTTAAGGCCAGGAAGCAGTTTGAAATAAACAGCTTGATGATGTATGATGGGTTGTCAGTTGGGTTGGGTATGCTGGAAAGACGAGATAGAATGGTTAACACTTTGTGGCTGTTTGTTGGATTTTGCTGGGTGCAAGTTAGCTGCAGTGTTGGCCTACAAAATACACAATCACTACACCTCTTCATCAGAACCAATCTCATGGCATTGGGATTCTTGCTGAAAATACCAGTGAAGTCGTCTATATGTTTTACATGAGATTAAAAATTTACCTACAAAAGTTATTCTGGACTATAAACTTAAAGTCCCACCTCGGGTATTGAAACCACAACCTTATGACTCAGAGCCATGAGTGCTGCCAACTGTACCAGGCTGCTAACACCCTACACCAACATTTTTAGTCAAGCAAAGCAGATCAGCAATTAGAATAGCACAGATAACCGGCCGATGAGGTTTTGCAACGGCGGCATTTGCAAAGTGAAAAATCAATATTCTTGCAACATACTCAAGAAAAAGATGTTTTTGCTCAGTTTACGATCAGTTTCTTATTTCTTAATGTCTGCCTTTCCTCACTTCCTCTAGATCACCGTTTGCTTCAAATACTGATGAACAAATCACTCTCTTCCTAAGTCAATGAACCAGACTCATTTGATGTTGCATCAGAAAGTCTAACAAGGGTTTACATTTATATTATAAGAATGATAATCCTTGTTTTGGGGAAAGCACCTTTGCATCACCCCAGTCCTCTCCAGGCTCCACTGGCTCCCTGGCCCTCAGCAGATCAACTTCAAGTTCCTCGACTTCACCTATAAATCCCTTCATGCCCTAGAAACTCCCTATCACTGCGATTTTCTCCTTCCTCATTCCACTGCTCGCCCTCTCCGCTCAGTTAACTTGGGCTTGCTGATATTCCCTTTGACTTACGATTGATGTCTGAACTCTCACATGCAGCACCCCTAATATCTGGAACTTCAAATACCACCTCTCTCCATTTGTCTGTAAACCCTAAAAGCTTTCTGCCTCTCTCATCGTCCGTCCCATCATTGCAAAGCACTCCGGGACATCCAATGTGAAAGTTGCTCTATAAATAAAGTTGTTGTCATTGTCGTTTTAATGACAGGTGAATAATCCAGCATCTCACAGGCGACAAACGAGAATATCTTTGCTTTGATTCTTCACATGAAAAAACAAAGCCCAAGCAAACCAAAAACACAAGGTCAAAATAATATTTTAGTATCCTGCGATCTGTCAACCTGCTGCAAGACAATATCTCGTCTATTCTGGGTTCGGAATCTATTTGTGATATGTTAAACACTTCTGTTTTACATCGATTTCCTTTCTTAAGTGGTTAGCTAACAGCTGCTTTACAGCTTCAGTTGACCAATAAATCTGATGGCTTTGTCTTCTTCTCAATATAAGACCAGGTGCATCATTAAATGCTACACCAAATACCTTCTGTGCGAGGCACTTGTAAACTGCTTCCCCTTCTCTCCTGGAATTGGCAAATAAAATGCCTGTTCAGTTGGTCGTTAAAGATCCCATGGCACTGCACGAAAAGAGAAGGGAGTGTCCCCTGATGTCCTGGCCAACAATCCCCTTCCAAATATCTTTTTTTTAAAAATGGGAGTCACTCACTCCACGGTTGTTTGTGGGACACTGCTGTGCCCAATTAGCTGCAGCATTTCGCCCGCAAAATGCAAAGTCAATCCACTTGACAGCATATTCTGTGAAGCGCTTTGAGACGTCTCAATGACGTGATATGGCGCTATATCAAGCGCAAGGATTATTATTATGTATTATTATTTTAATCAACTGCACAATACAGTTGAGTTCAGCCTTTCCGTAATGCCTGGTGCCACATGTACTTGTTCATACGTTTGGGGCAGGGATCATTGTTCTCCTTTAGAAATTATTATTCTTATTATTATCTTTGTATTTTGCTATGGTATCTTTCATGGTCTTCTCAAAGCACTTCAGGGGATTTACTGTGAAGTGCAGTGACTGTGTATTTTGTAGGCGAATCCTGCATCCAAATTGCACACAGCAAAGTCCACCAAAATAGCAATTTGGTTTAATGTCTCACCTGGGACATACACATGGACTCGCAAGGATTGTGGTACTGCTATAAAAATCACTCTGTCCTTCAGAAGTTAATCATCTTTGGTGACTTTGGGAAGACCGGCTCCAACTGGGCTAAGCTAAATATTTAACATGGGTCAATGGTACAGTTGTGTGTGTCACACTGGAACCAAACTGCAAATAAAACACAACTCACAATAACAGCACTGACATTTCCTGCAGCAAGTTTAGTGGTTTGGTAACCAGTAAATTAGTTGTGATGTCCTCATCTGGCAAGTCACAGAAATTCGACAAAAAAACACCAAAGCAGGGAACAAAATTCTGAAGACATAGATATGAGAGGCAGACAGAGATCAGAGGCATTAACAAGTGAAATCAAATACCAGCGACAAACTGACAGGATACTAGATGTTTTCGCAAAGTACCAATATTTCCTAAGATCAAAGAGCTACATTTGCACAAGAGTTTAGGAGACGGTGTCTGGGTTTAAACAAATAAAAAGCAAACCCACAACCTCGCCTTTTACTGAATACTGAATGTTTGTGCACGGACAGTGAAATTGACAACCTAAATAGTGACCAACTCTGCCTTCTGATAGAGCGGGCAAAAATCTTGCAATCAGAGCTAAAAATTAAGAGATCCCTTCACAGGAGGATTGTGACAATGTGAATCCACTGCCTCCAAAGGACTTACCAATTATCAACAACGACTTATCAATTGGAATGGTTAAAAAATGGAGATCGATAATCACTTGGATAAGCGAGGGACATGGAGAAAAGGCAGGCAAATGGGATTTAAAGATCTGCCGTTATTTATTGGATAAACTTGTGTTCGTATGCTCCTTGCAATTTCACATCTGAAATCTCACAGGCGTTGAAAGACACAGAGCAGACAGGGTGCGATGCTGAACCTGTGAAAATGAGTCACTGTGCAGCTTAACTGAAAGATTTTTCAAGCATTTCACTGTGTTGCAAGTATTATTGGCAAGGAAAGTGTCAGGCTTCAAAGCTACCACACACACAAACAGAAGTGGCTGGGAACACTCAGCCGGTCAGTCAGCATCTATGGAGAAAGGAAAGCGAATCAAAGTTTCGGATCCAGACCCTTCGTCAGGGACCTTTCGTTTAGTTCTAACAAAGGGTCGTGGACCCAAAAGTAACGTCTCAAAGCGCTTCACACGTTATACTGTCATGTGAATCGACTGTATATTTTGTGGACGAAACGCGGCAGGCAATTGTGTGCAGTGTTCCGAGGACAATATCACTGAGTGAGACCGTGTAAATATTAAAGAGGAAAGGACCAAGGACAGAGCTCTGGGGAACGCCACATGTGACGGTGCCAGGGCTGGCGATGAAGGTGAAGGCGTTGGTGAACTCGAAAGTGGGCAATACGAAAAGGGCATCTCTGCTCATAGACCCCTCGCTTCTGGTTGAATGCAGGAAGCCTCGGGCCAGCTTCACAGGTCTCGAAGCCCTTCATTTTCCAGGTGTCTGCGGTACAATCTACAAACAACATGTTGCCCCCAAAGAGCAGCAACTGCTCCTCAGTCGAAAAGTAACACCCACGTCAAAACCTTTGATAGACAAGGTGATACAGATCAACGTGGTTGGGCGAGAGGGGTGGAGCAGTGATCTGCAGGCATCAACCAGCTTGCGGTGTGCAGACCAGGTGTCTGCAGCACTGTGTTTGAGCTGAGCCCTGGACTAAGCACTCCAGGACCACCTCCCAGCGTGAAGGAACGCTATATAAACGCAAGCGTTGCCGTTGTTGAGGGTGTGCCACACTGAGCCGCAGTGCAGCTGGCACTCGGGAGAGGGAATCAGAAATCTTTCGATCGCTATTCACTGCCAATCACCCACCTGACAAGACCGAATGGGCGCCTGCACTAACGGTCGGGAGACGAGGAGGGTGGGGAGGGGGGTCAGCGCGGTCATGCGGAGGGAGAGGCTGAGGGAGGAAATAACGGAGAGCGAAGTCAGCAGAGTAAGACCAGGGGGGTGGTTAAGCGAAGGTTGAAGTCGCCCAGGATGAGGAGGCGTTCGGAGCAGAGGGAGAGGGAAGATAGGAGGGTGGAGATGTCGGGGATGAAGGTGGGGGAGGGCTTGAGGGGGAGATTAGGTAAGGAGAATTTTGAGGGAAAGGTCGGAGGGGTGATAAAAGACAAAGTGCTCAAGAGGAAGGTTCCAGAGGAGTAAGAGAATAAGCCGAGCGGGGACCAGGAGATGAGAGCCACTCCGCCACCAGGGCAGTTAGGTCGAGGGGTATGCTTGCCCCACCATAGGCAGGTGGACCTTCTGCCACTCTGCCCCCACCCTCTGGATGTCCATCCCGCAGTCCCTCCGCCTCGCCCCCTCCCTTGTCTCCTTCAAGATCCACCTCTTCAACCGTGCTTTCGATCTCCCTGCTTCCCACACCCCCGATCCCGACTCCAAGCTCGGGTCCGAAATTCTTGACCTTCCAGCGCATGGGGACATCCTCTCGACCTGAAAGGCGCTTTGCAAATGTAATTTTGTTGTTGCAGGCTAGGGTGGAGATGTTTACCTGTGGGGAGGGAGGTGTGGTTGAAGGATGTTGCAGAAGTAGGGTGGATCTTCTGTGGTGAGAATTCACCGTTGTGATGAACTTCCATTGCACCTGTAACCTTTATTCATTAATCATAATTTTTGTACTTAATATAGCATCCGTAAGTTTGGGAGCATCTCAAAGTGTTTCATAAAGTTGCTGTGAAGTTACTGCGACTGTGTTTGTAACAAGCTTATGTTATTTATATTACTGCAGTTCCTATGTAGACTCAGTACAAGGGAGTTCTGCACCACATCCTTTTAATCAACATTTTTTTGTCCACAAATATAACTGCAGAAGTTTTTTTTCCACTTCTGAAGCTGTTTTGATCTTGTCTCGATCATTTTTCGTCCCAATTTCGCCCCCCAAAAAATGGGTGCCAGTCAGCTGTGTGATGCACTTGTGAGTCATATAAATGCAAGTTCTTCTTGTGTGTTGTTGGGGAAATCCAACAGTAAGCACATTTTTAAAAAAAAATCTACTGTTAGCAATCACATCCGATCCCCATTTCAATCCTGTTTTGGTTAGTCAACCGAGCTGATCCTGTTCTCACGCAACATCACACAGGCTCACTCTTCATCAGAGCTCAACAGGTAATATCTTAAGCGGAAGTGATCTCTGATTTACCATCTCTTCTCCACTCATTAACTCCACACAGCTCCCAGCATTGGACCTGAGGTCCTCCAACATGCAACACGTTGTCCTTTGAAGGCCAAACAACAAAGGCAGAATCAATTGCAGCATTCAAATAGGAGAGGAGATACTTGGGAGATTGGGGGATCGGGAGTTAGGTGGGAAGAGTGAGGTTGGGAGATTAAAGCATCTGCCAAATGCTCAGTGAAAGTGTGGACATGCTGCAAAGACACCTGACCAAAGGAACAAAGAAAAACTGGAAAACTTGGCCAAAAAAACCCTTCAGACTTTTGGTGTGAACTCTGGCACCCTCCGGTGGTTTTGGTGAAGAAACATAATAATCATTGCATTTGATTACACCGAGTCCAAGACATCTCAAAGTGCTTCACAGGATTTACCGCCCACCGCGAAGTGTGCTGACTGGGTATCTGTAGGTGAACACGGCAGAGAACACCAAGCAGGTCTGGGTCGGCAGAATGGCTCATCCCTTTTCAAAGGGAGTGGATTATTATCCATGAATAAGATCCCGTCAGCGCTCTCACACCGTCATCTTTGAGGCTGCACCAAAAGTTCCTCCAGGATTGGAAATTCAGCCAAGATCCCCCCTCACCTCACTAGCCCCCCGCTGCAATTCCCCACCCAGATACGTGAGGAGAACAAGAGTCAGGTGAAGTCTTCAACATCAGAATAACCGGTTGCCATTCACCCACCGACTCGGCTCACAGATGATGAATGACCGACCACTCGTTTGAAGGGCCAGAGAGGTGCAAGCACCAGTCAGTGCTGCAGAGCATTACTGCAAAGCACTCCTACCTATGAAATGTCCAGTACGCTATACAGTAAGTTACCTGTGCAATCACATGCTGTAATAGAAGTCCTGTAGCTCAGTGGTTAGAGCACTCGCTTTGCATAGCGAGAGACCTGAGTTCAATTCCAGGCAGAGGGCGAAACCTTGGGCAAGTTTCCCCACTCCACACAGAGCCTAATAATAATCCCTCCAAAACAAAAACAATAATAAATTGGTCATTTTCAATCCACGACTGTTTGTGGGACATTGCTGTGCGCAATTGGCTGCCGCGTTCGCCCACAAATATACAGTCAATTCACTTTACAGTGTTTTCTGTGAAGCGCTTTGGGACGTCCTCCCGATGTGAAAAGCGCTATATCAAATGCAAGGATTATTATTATTATTACTGACATTTGCACATTTGTCCACCAGAGGGTGATGGAAATCAAGAGGGAAGTTCCCAGTTTGGCAGCAGAATCGGGTCAATTCCTACGATTTAGTGGTGGGCGAAATAAAGGACAAATAATAATAAAAAAAATACTCTGTGAAAACTTCATACCATAATCCAGTTTAGTTCTGGTTTATGCAAGGAGCTTATTTTCCCTTTGGTAGTCACGGGAGAAGAAACATTCGTCCTTTGGAGGAGACGTTAAATTTTACTGCAGAGCGCGAGTGTTTCTTATGTCCTTATGAGTGACTGGGTTTCTAGGTGAATGCGGCAGCCAATTCGCGCACTGCAGTGAAGTGAATGACCAATTTTATCTGGGAGATCGTTGGCCAGGAAACTGGGAGAGTGGGTTTGTACTAAGACAAATTCTCATGGATTCTCATCCGATTATAAACCCAGCACAGTAGCAAACTGAACACAGTATATACTTGGTCATTACGATCAATGACATAGTCTTTCCTTAGATCTGACCAAAGGCCCCCTTTTTTAAAAAAAGTCTGAAGTTTAGACCCCATGGAGATCAAAGCAAGTATTGCCCTTGGAGAAGAGATTAGCATTCAGAACCCCAGGACCCAGAACAAAGCAATACTGTGAAAGTGCATTGGCATTTAGAGAAAGCATCTTCAACTGCCTTAGCTCGAGCGAGCAAGAGGAGGAGAGAGGCTTGCAGGGTGCTCAAATAGAAATGAACTCCCAACAGGCAAACCATGAACCCTTCATGCAAAATAATAATGGACTGGGCCTTCGAATATATAGAAAGGCTAACCTGCCGTGCCATTCATGATGCGAGACAAAGGTTCATCAGGTCCGTCTCTTCTTTTGAATTTAAAAGGAGCTAAAAAGGAATAAAGCAACTTAACCTAATTCAGATGGAAACTAAAGGTTCCTGTAGAGATGGAAGCATGGGGGCTCTTGGCGTCAAGAAAAAATAACGAATGTAACATTTCATAATCATTCAAAGGGCTCCGTAACTTATCATATACCCAATATAGTTGTTCATCAGCTATCCTGTTAACTCCAGCCACCTAGAGTTTCAGTTGGGTGTTGTACAGAATTTGTAAGTCAAAGTGCATCAAAATAGTAAAGTAACATTTCCACAATAATTTCTCTGTAGATCTGTTCACCAGCGATATACAGAAGAACATCCGAGAAAAGGCAGAGAAAGTAGTTGAACTTACCAATGAGGCATCTGTATTCAAAACTAGCATTGATTCTTAATATACTGTGACCACCTAAGCAAGCAAATAAAGCAATCAATAGCCGACCTGACAGAACTAGCCTCAGCTTGGAGAGGAAGAAATAAACCGAGAGGAGAAAAGTCCAATCGCAAGTTCCCTGCCTCAAGTTCACCCTCCTGGAAAGTCTGTGTGTGTGAGTGAGAGAGAGAGAGAGAGGAGAGAGACTCACTGATAAGGAATGGTCATTTAGATCAGATACACTGCCTTACACTCGCTCACAGAACAGCCTCGCAAGTGCGAGATACCGTCTCTGGGACACGACAATTTCGATGCTAAAAATTTTCAATGCTGCAACACACCTTTATTGTGACTTGACCTCCTCACTGTACACTCCCGTCCCTTAAAATGGACAAGTTATTGCAGTCAACCCTTTTGAAATGTCGACATACATTCATCACTGCATGGCTGAGTACCAATACACACAATTAATCAATTAAATGTTACAATATTCATAGCGTGCATCTTTGTGCAGGTTCGAGACATCAGCGTCAGTGGTAAGAAAAATAAAGGGCGAAAAAGGCTTACCATACTTTCAAAAGCATTCCCTGTAAATAACCTCAGGAGATGCAAGCTACATCTACATAAATAAGTTAGAATATTCCCTTTAAATAGTTTAAGACACTCACCCATCCCTTTGACAATCATGTTATCGGAGAGTAGAAAGGAAGGAATACAACTGAACAGTACATAATGTCTTTCCGATCAATTCTATAGCTGTCAGAAGTTTTAAAAATGGATTTTTTTGTAAAACAAAAAAGGAATACTTTGTACATATTCTGCACTGGCTTCCATCAATAGAAGCAAAAGTCCTTTTGCCATATTAAGGCACAGTGGATCATCTAACTGGGGTGATTGCCCATGGAGACAGCAGGATGCAAACCTTGAGGGAAGGGAGACATGTAGAGAGGAGTTGGTGTAACTGCTGTTCCATTGTATCCTTGGGTTACCATAGGGTCTGGTAGTATCAGGGTGTTGGGTGGCATGTATAGTGGGCTTCCTTCTTGGCTTTCTACACCTTCTTCTGTACAAGGGATTGTCATCCTTTTCCCCTTCTGTCTTCGATTGGAAAACCAAACCCTAATAACCTGCAGGGGGAAAAAAGACACGAGGTGAAGACTTGTCAAGGATAACCTACTAATAATAATCCTTGCATTCTGATACAGCGCCTTATCACATCTTCGAGACATCTTAAAGCGTTTCATAGAATAACTAAACTGAATTGACTGTATATTTAGTGGGTGAAACCCGGCAGCCAATTGCGCACAGCAACGTCCCACAAACAGTCGTGGATTAAAAAGATCATTTTTTTAACAAAGGAATTAGGAAAAAGGAACGAGACGAGGCTACTCTGGCTTATGCAAGAATTATAGGTTTAAAAAATAAGAAAAAGTGCACAGGGAGCATTTAATATCCTCCAATAGCTCTGTATGTTGCGTTGACATTACAGTATGAGACAGCCTCTTACTAAATTGGTTAAAATTCTTCCTGTCTAGTGCGAACATCTGTTGAGAAAGTAAGGTTTGCAGGAAAGGCAAGGCTGAGGGATTGAGGGAGAGTTCCGAAGCTTCAAACAGATAAAATTCTCATTTTTTAAAAAAAAAATAATCTTTATACTCTGGTCATGGGAGGGTCTGGCCTGGGGGCAATGAAAAGCCACCATAACCCACTTACATCTTTTTCTAAGTTAAGATCTTCAGCAATCTGGGTGATCTCCTCACTCGTTGGTCTGGGGCATTTCATGAAGCAGGTCTCCAGGTTCCCCTTCACACTGTTTTCAATGCTGGTTCTCCTTTTGCGTTTCCTGGATTGGTCCGTGACTTGCTCCGTCACACAAATCTAAGGAAAGGATTGAAAAAGCGACTGTTACATCAGAGGGCTTTACACAAGCGCATCAATTATATTCTGAAGAAATAACTCCCCAAGCACAAGCTTTTGTTTGCCAGTCAGAATAGTCTGTCTGTAGCCTAAACCAACTGAAATGAACGACCAATTTTACTTTGGCCATTGTTGTTGATCGGGTCACTCGGAGAAACTCCCTTCTCTTTTCGATTGGTGTCAAGCGATTTTTAGCATCCACCTGAAGAGGCAGACTGACCTCAGTTTAACATCTCATCCAAAGGACGGCACCTCCGACAATGCAGCCTCTCCACCCCCTTCTCCCCCAACCGCACTCGAGCGTCAGCATAGACTGTGAGCCTTTTGACTCCGAGGCAAGAGTGCTGCCAACTGATCCCGGTTGATGCTCTTAGCGTGAATATAATGTGGAACTCGAGACGTTCCCAGGAGATGATAAGTGTTATTGCTCCTACCTCGTGCACGCCATCGTGGTTTTGTGCATCGTTCAGCCAGCGCTCCAGGATGGGTTTCAATTTGCACATGTTCTTAAAACTCAGCTGCAAGGCTTCGAACCGACAGATTGTGGTTTGACTGAACATCTTTCCTGCAATTGTGGAAAGGGGGAGAAGGAGAGGCAAACCTTTACATCAGTGCGAACTGTCATTGAATCGTAGAAATTACAGGACAGAATGAAGCCATTTCCACTGGAGTGAATCGGGTAAAACATTTAGTCTGAATTGCAGAACCTCCAACAGTAGAGCACTCCCCCAACATTGCACTGCAGCGTCAGTCTAGACTGTCGAGTTCAAAGTCGGTACCCTAAACTGCCATGAACCCACATCATTTGGACCAGAAGGTGAGAATTCTACCGAGTCGATGAGCTGATACTGCAGTCACAGGAGGGGTGTTACAACCTCTGGGGAAGAGAGGAAGGAAGAGAGAGAGGGAGAGGAAGACACCGAGGTTCCTACTATCGATTGTTAATGTGGAGTTTGTTGCTGTCCACACTTTGTGTGGAGCCAGAAAGGTTTGCTGTTGGAATAACACAGCCCACCACCAACTTAGAAACAACAGTGCCCGTGCGAGTACACACACAAGCAGTCTCCTATACACTGGGCTTTGCAATGTGCATTCCAGCCAGCAGAAGCCTCTGGCAACTTCTACAGACACTTGGAATAACTTTTTATATGCTCGGAACAGAACTAACACAATAATAATCCTTGCGGTTGATATAGCGCCTTATCACATCTTCCGAGACTTCTCAAAGCGCTTTACAGAATATACTGCAAGGTGAATTGATTGTACATTTTGTGGGCAAAAACACACAGGGTTCCTGTAACTCCTGGAATGAACTCTAAGACCAGAACGCACACACACCTCACTTCTTAAACAACTCACGTGTACACTGCGCCCTTCAAGCAGGACAGCGTCTTGAGATCGAGCCTCGAAAGGTTCAGGAAAGGGTGAATGCGAGGGCGACTTACCATAGAGGTTCCCCAAAGCTATCCCTACGTCAGCTTGAGTGAAGCCCAGTGTGATTCGTTTGCGCTTCAACTCCTTGGCGAACTCTTCCATTTTTCCTTTGGTGCGATACTCCTTTGCAAGAGAAAGCAGGATTAGAGAGGTGTGAAATTCCATTCATTTCCCCCACCCCCAACAGAAAAATCAATCAATGGTGAAAATCAAGTTTGGTTAGTGGGGAAGGGAGGGGAGGGAGGGAGGGAGCGGTGGCGGTGTGGTGGTGAGATAATAGATCTGACTTCTTTTCCAAATTCTAATCAAATCAAGTCTGAAGTCTTCTACGCCGTCAGCTCCTGCTAAGTGACCGGTTCTTATCCAGGAGCTTTGACTCCTTTTATTGTTAAACACACCCAAGAAGGACTTAAGAGTCAACAAAAGAGCCAGACATCTGTGTAAGCCCCACTGCCCATTGTTCACCCAATTCTGAAATTAGATTAGGACCACTTTTTGGTGACATCCAGACCTTGTGAAACCCTTCTCCCGAGTTAAACCCACTTCCCTGTGAGGTGCGACACACCTGGAAGGACGTTTTAAAGAAAAAGTGAGCTTCTTAAATCTGCTGGAAGTTGGGGAAACCCAAATGAACTCTTTGCAAATGCAAATTGTAGAAATAAACCCAGAGAGTGTGTGTGTGTGTGTGTGTGTGTGGGGTGGGGTTTGGTGGGGGGGGGGGGGGGTGTATTTCTTGAGGTTTTTCTTAAAAACATACTTGTCGCACCCAATAACTATAACTTGCGATATTGCGGAAAATTCGTTAAAAAGCTTCCAATGCAAAGCACACATGGGCAGCGAGGGGGGTCCACACCCAAACTGGGGCAACTTTCACTGTCCCCCCTTCACACTCACCCATAGATGGTCGAAAGTCACACACATACACACACACACAGCTATGCACATATACATAAATAGAAATAAATAGTGTATAAATAGAATAATAAATAGAAATAAATACTATACGGGCAATAGTCACACACTATATATATACACACACACATATTGACAATATATAGGTATATATATATATATATATCAAATGTAATGATTATTATTAACTATATATATATATATAGTGGTCAACAGAAAGCCTCACCTCTTCGCTGTCGCTCGAATGTCCTTCCTCACTCGCTGTGCCGGTGGAGCCGGTGTTGGACTGGGATGGGTGGCCGCTGTGGGTGGGCAGTGAGGGGTTTGGGTGCACTTGGGGGGGCGAGGGGAAGACCCCGAAGCCCGGGTAGGTCTGGCTGGGCAGCTGGGGAGTGGGGGAGGTGGAGCTGGGGGGACAAGGGGTCAGGCCTGGCTGCCAGAAAGATGGGTTCCAACGGTGGTTGTAGTGAGGTCCAGGGCCAACCGGAGAGGAGTACTTGGCTTCTCCACAGTAGTCTTTGCTTTCCTTCTCGGTCTTGATCTCGGATTTGGCCAATAGTCCTCCATGACCACCCAGTTGAGAATCGTGGCGGTGTGCACCGCTCTGGTGGGCAATCATACCCCCACCACCACCACCAACACCCCCTCCAACACCAACACCCCCTCCAACACCACCTCCAACACCAACACCCCCAACACCAGCTCCATGGTGTGAGGCAGGGTCTACAGCAGAGAAGGGATACCAATGAGAGACTCCAGGCGAGTCTCCCAGCTGAGCCTCCGAATGGCCTCCGTATTCCCCTTTCAGGTGTGGGAAGGGGAACAGATACTGTGTGGGGATGGCATTGTAACCAGGTTTGTAGAACTGGGAGCCCGAGTCCTGGACCACCCCAGTCCCGAAGGGTAGGAGGTGAGGACGTTCTGGAGAATGCAGTGATCTGACCATATTCCCTTCTTGTCCAGGGCTGATGGACTGACCAGACATAGTCCAGGCTGTTGCCTTACTGTACCTTAAGGAGTCGTGCAATCGAAGAGGTGAGCCCGAGTGCCCCAGTTTATCCCCCCCCACCCCCTCCCAGGGAGATGGCTTTTCAACCGATGAGGCAGGTCCATTGGATCCATATGCTAATGATTCCCCTCTTATTGGCTCTGGAGAGAGAATTGGAAGCAGATACTTACCTGTGAATGAACTTGATGCTTTTTTGGGGAGTGGGTTGGGGGTCTGTGTGTGGGGTGGGGGGTGTTGTGAGGAGGGGTTTATTTATCACACTTGCACTCTGTGATTGACAACTGCAGCAATGAAACCTTTCTGGTTAAATTTAAGACGTGCACCAACCCCCCCCCCCCCACGCATACATAAAACCCTCCATTCAATAAATTAGTCAAATTTAAACGGTAGGAATTGCAAAGCGTTTCAATTAACCCCCAAATGCACTTAGCAATCGCCCTCTTTACAGCAGACACGAGGAACTTATTCCATAGGTGATTACAGTATCGACTTGGGGTTTTCTGCCATTCTCAATCCTCTCCTCTCTCTGCCCTCCACACACACAAAAAAATAATCGAAAAATATATGTACCCAACAGTGCAACGTGGACATAAGAAGTTCACGTCAAGTGAACGGGTGGGAGGGTAGTGGTAGAGGGTTGAGCAAAAAGATTAATCTGGAAAAATCTGAAAGTGTGGCAGTGTATGTGTGCAACCAGAGCTCTGGGGGAGAGAGAGACTTCAGACTATTTCATGGGCCATTACTTGCGTCCCAACTCCACCGTCGGAAGCGTCAATGGGTGGAGGGTTTCAGTCAGATGGCCTTTCCAAAAAAAAGTGACTCCAAGTAATTTGCAATTGGCTCACATTGGAGGTCAAAATCCATCTCTATGGGGGAGGGGTGGGGGGAGATAGAGAGAGAGAGAGAGAGAGAGAGTGAATGAATGAAAAGAGATGCCCATCTATGGGGAGTAGAGGAGAAGAATGAAGAACAGTATTATCCTCAAAGGCAGAATGTATTTATTTATTGTTGGGTTTGTCAGCAGTGGGAGAAAGAGGACAATAAATCAAAGGCCATTGTGTCAGTTTCAGTTGTAAATGTCACTGTAATCCGCTGTACTTGGTCAGAGAGGGAGAGAGGAGGGAGGGAGAGAAAAAAGAGAGAAAAAAGAAGGAAAGAGAGAATGGGAATCCAGGGGTTTGGACTTCCAAGAACTTCACCCCATCTCAAGGACTCAACTCAACTCACCTTTCCCAACCTGTGTGAAAACAACCACAGCAACTGGGCTTTCCAAAGTTTTAGTTGTTTTATTTCATTTTATTTTATTTTATTTTTTTGGGGGGTGGGGTGGGTTTGAACTTCACGTTCAACTCTTGGAAAATGTATGTCGATTTTAAAACAAGATTTCAAAACGAGTCGTTTCATATATATGTGTATATATATATATATATATTACACACACTATATCGACCGGTTTAGTCATTTCTGTGCTTCTCATTCTATTTTTGTTGATAGTCTTTAATTGGCACAGATTTTTTTTTAACTGTTTCGAAGTTAAAATGCTGCAGATTTTCCACTGATTCCTCTCTCGATCTTTCTTTCTCTCTTTCTCTCTCCACTGCAGTAGGTTTCGGAACACATGATGACAAGTTTTCTTTAACGAGGTCTATTTTTCTTCTTATCGAATTCCAGTCTCAAGTACTTGACTTAGTCAACAGTGATATATATGGATATATATATATTGTTCCTTATCCCAGGTTTTTTTTAATATAAATTGCATTTCACTCTTGTTTCACTGTGAGGATCGAAGTGCTTTTTGTTCGTTTTTCTCGTGAGATCCAACCCCAAAAATCCACAGATCTGAAGCATTACAAGACTTGTGTGTGTGGGGTTTTTTTTTGGTGGTGTCTCCAAACCCCAGTGCTAAATCGGTTGGTTCAATGGGTTGGGTTTGAAACCGTCTTGATCCATATCTTTAAAGGTTTAATCGATGAACGATAAAGGCAATCTGCGACATTGCAAGGGATTTGGAGCCAGGATTTGTGACCATCAGAGTTAACACTGATTTCAACAAACATTTCAACTTTTATTTAATGAAATCACATGTATGTGATCGGTGCTTTGCGCATTTGCATTAGTAAATTCATTCGAAATAGTAATTCTGACTTTCTCCTTCAATTAAAACACTACACATATATACATATATATACACACAACACACACACACACCAAAAAAAACCCAAAAAATTGGCATTAGGAAGACCTGATCAGGAATTTCAAGCTTCTTTTTCAAGACAAGGCTCAGGGGGGAGGGATTTGAATGACTATCGTCGGGATCAATGCTGCAAACGAAATTATTTCTCGTCTCAACCTCTTTAATTTAATTTTAAAACGCACTTTTGAAGTGTGTGAAACTCAGGTACCCGAACAAGTCTTTGCTAATTGGGGTTTATGTCGAATTAAAAATAAAATAAAAAAAATTCCCCTCCTCCTTTCACTCCCTGCAGTCTATCACAAGAATGATCTGAATTCAACAAAGTCCCAGTAAACTGTCAAGGCTCCTGAGAACATTAAGGGGAAACAGCTGCTTTCCAAAGGCAATCTCTGCTCTCGGCCCAAACCTATTCTTATGCAAAACCTTCAGCAGAATCCAGAGGAAGGAATCTGTGATGGCGACAAATTCAATCTGCACTAATGCATTTGACCCTGTGAGATCCTGTGAAATATCAGTCCAGCCCAGAGTGGGATGAGTTTAGCTCTGTGTTTGTTTTTGCATTGTAAGCTACATTTTACGTCTGATATGTCGCTGTGGCTAGATCAGGATACAAAGGCAAATTATTATTATTATTGTTATTCATCATAATCAACCATTTCTGCTGGAAGTAATCAGAAAATAAATGTTGCAAACGCAAAGCACCTGGATGAACTTCAATCAGTAAGAGAAACAGGTTAATATTTGCAGATGAGTTTATATATCTTCTATACACACATATATATATATATATATACATAAATAATTTGATCACTCAACCCACAACTGCTTGTGCGGACATTGCTGTGCGCAATTGGTTGTCACGTTTCGCCCATAAAATACACAGTCGATCCACTTTACAATGTATTCTGTGAAGCACTTTCAGGCGCTATGTCATACGCAAGGATTATTGTTGTTGTTGGGTTCCAAATGCGGTGTTGCATTCACAACCTCACCCAAGCGTCTTTCCTGCAGAAAGAAGCAAGTTGCCCTCTCCTGCCTCCCGTATAACCTTTCTTTACCTTAAGAGTACAAGGATGACCACCGGGCAGCTGGCTACCTCTTGTGATTGAGTTCCTAATTCCGAAGTGATGGTAAATTTCATGGTACTTGTCCAGCTAAAACTGCCCTACCAGCAAGCGCCACCTCTTCTTCACCCGTGCCACCACCACACCCCCCACCACTACCCAACACCCACCCCACACCGCCCCCAGTCATCTCCCCCCTCTCTCTGGCTCAGCGTCAAGTTCCACCACTGTTAAACACTCTGAGACGCTATCCAACGTGGAGGGCACTATATAAATGCACGCACCTGGCTGTTTGTGGGCCATTGATTGCCGTGTACAAATTGCCTGCTGCGTTCACCTCCAATTGGGAGTGTCCAAACTTACAGTCGACAGCAATTTCTGTAAAGTACTTTTGAGACATTCGATGAAACGGTCGTTATAATAAATGCAAGGATTATTATCTGAGCCCAGCACCTTGGGACGTCCTTCCGACATGAAAGGTGCTGTGTACAATAAATGTAATGTGTCGTTGTTGTTAATCTAACTGATCCCAAGTACTTGAGAGCTGCAGCAATGATGCACTTCAGAGCAACTCAGTCTCTGGCTCCACTCAGCATGTGATTTGGAATACACACTTACTCCCTGGAGGAACGCACTGCGCTCGCTCACCTAATTCCAGAGCGAATTATATGCCGAGGCTCGGGAGCGTGCATCGGGCTACTGCTGGATAGTCTTCCAAACGCATAGCTTGCCATGGACAGCCCTGTCTGGCAAGTTTCCAGCTGCCTGTCCAGCCAGGACAAATGGCAAATCGGGACTACTCAAGTAGGGTTGCAGGGTTAACAGGAGTTACGTGAGAAGAATCTTTGCCGCCAGTGACTGGTCTACCCTCCGATTCCTGCCCTCAGGCTAGCCTGGCTGGTCTGTCATTAGTAGTGCCCTGAAGCACTGCAGATACAAACTAGCTCAGGGGATAGACGACAGAGTCCACTGCAGAGAGCTGACTCAACTCTGACATACCATTGGCAAGCAGGTCAGCTTGGAGCTAACTCAACTCAATTTAAGATAATTACCAAAGAAGCAGGGGGGGTGGGGGTTAGATTTAAGGTGAATTTTGTTTTATAATACAGGTCCTTGGTTTTAAAAAAAATCTTTTGACACTACAACTTTCACATCAGGATGTGAAACACTTCACAACGAAGTTCGTATTAGATTATAGTTGCTGCGTATTTCATAAGCAAACATGAGGGTTTTTTGCAGGGGGCAAAGATATGGAATACCTTTTCTGGGAGGGGTGATCGAGGCAACGTCCATATGAACGTTCAAGATGTAACCTGGTTATATATTCCATCTTGTTTCGCCTCACCAAATACAGTCAATTCACTTTACAGTATATTCTGTGAAGGGCCTTGAGACGTCTCGAAGATGTGATAAGGCGCTGTATCAAACGTAAGGATTATTATTATTATGTTATTCCAAAAAAAGGAGCAATGTGCAGCAAGGGTTTGTGGAAAACGCAAGTAAATGGGATTGAATGGATTGTTTTTGCTAAGTGCCAGCACAAAGCATAAAGTTCTGCGATGTATAGCTCTAGCACAAAAGTAGGATAAAAACAGAATTTCAGCAAAACAGTTTATTTTCACAGAAAAATACAACAATATACGATATGTCAGAACAGGTATAATCAGGCATTCAAAATGGTGGAGACGAGTTTTGGTGAAAACAGAATATACGGCAAAATAAACGATCAGTATTAAAATAAATTTAAACAGGTAATAAATATGTACAGAGCAGATGAAGAAAGATACGCAAGAGGGAAAAGTAAAGAAAAAGCATCAATTTTCAAAGTGTGGTCCAAAGCATTTATCCCATGCAAGTATAGCCCAATTAATTGCACTGTGGCTCACCCTCATTATCCCATGCAGTGCGCTGAATGTTGTACAATTTGTCACCTACGTATGTATATATTACAAAACCCTTCCCCTTCCCACACCAATTCCAAAATTTAAACAGTGCTTTTCGCATACTTCAGTTTTCTCACTGAGTACGTTCCTTTTTCTTGCTGATTTCCCCCCTCTTATTTTTCTCTCCGTTCCTAAAAGATTGGATCGCTTGCCGAGCAGAGTTCCCACCGGCACCGGTTACCCTCTGTTTACCGCTTCAAAGTGCCCATTCTTCATTGTGCCCTGCCGCGGAGGGCATGGGGGTGGGGGAGAAGAGTTGAAATCACAGCCGAACCTGATCCACAAAGATGCATGTTCAGAGTGGTCACTGGATAGCGATCAAGATGTCAGTAGATCAGGCTGATTTTCCCACTCCCTGGCCAGAAGCACTGAGTCTAATTGTTGGTGTCTGCAATGTCTCTCCCCCCCACCCCCCCCCCCCATCCCCACGCCACTGCATTTACATTAGCTAACTCAGCCCAGACCTGGATAGAAACCTATTGGGCTTTTGTGCTATTTAATTGGCGTCTTTGCCCACAAGGCTGTCGGGGAGCTTTTAAAACTTTATTGATTGAGTGAGTGACTGATGTCAGCGGGATAAAAATAGTATTATTGGAATTGATGCACGAGCCCGGTTGGATCATGAGATGGTTTAAAACGTTTCTCAAATTGTCTTCACCGTACGTAGCAAATGTACGTTTCCTGGCATTTCAAGGTTCCGATAATCAAAGTTTTTTTGGGGGGGGAAAAAAAATTCCGTCGCACTTCTCAAGTACAGGGCAGCCAGTGGAACACCACTGATGGCACTTCCGGTACCTGTGCTTGATTACCACGTGCGGGCAGGAAGCATCACTGACATCCTTTGCAAAGGAAGTGATATCAGTGATCCGAAGGAAGGACATCAGTGATCCAAAGGAAGTGACATCAGTGATCCTGCGTACCAATGGATGTCAGCAGCCATCGTTTTGCATTTAGCCTCAGAGATACTGGACGCCGGACACTGAATTATACTGGGGGTTGCCCTATAACTAGGCAATCGTTGCTGTATATCAAATACGTCTTACAGCAGTCGATCTTCAATTTTTTTTTAAGTGTTAGAAAATTGTGCGACGGCTCAAAACATCCCGACTCAAACCGTTTACCCGTTGTTTTCCTTGCAATGAAGCTGGCCTGTCCAGAGGACCGCAGCTTGGAACAGATGCTCATCCACTTATTCAGGTGCCATTAAAATGCACCAACACCTTATCGACACCTATATGAGGCATAAGCCATTGATTAACCATCGATAGTCCAGATTCCAATAATATCTCCAAGAGAATTATGCACGATTTAAAAACAAATTTAAAAAAACCCAGGCACATTCAGCAGGATTTTAAATGTCGGGCTTCTTATGAAATTGTGAAATTTGATTCTGTTGGAATAAAAATATGCTGCTTGACCTCTGCTTCCAGAGTGGCCAAGATTGGCACGTCATTTGGGAGTTTGTACAATTATGCTCAGTGAAAACACATTCATTTGAATACATTTTGCAGTCGACCGCCACCATTTTTTAGAAAAGTTATTTAGGGACAAAACTTTTAAACGCCACGCTCGTCAACTAATTAATCTTCAACGTCCCATTCTATAAAGTACTTCTAAGAGCTTCAACATAATCTTTCCACGTCTGTACTTGTTTATGTTAAAATTGGTTCCCACACTGCAACATGTAGATGGAAGTTTCATTAAGATTTCCACCCTCTGTTAACTGCTTCTCAGTCCACTCCCAGTATTGTTACGCAAATGAAGCACACTGCTGTCTAGGCATGTAGAAGATCTGCATAAAAACATTCAACCTTATCCCATTTGAGAAAGGAGGCCCTTTTGACCTGATGCTAAACTATCTGTGCCCAGTTTAACAACTGGATTGGGAATGTATTGGGGGAGGGGGAGGTTGGAGGGGAGTCCTGCACAGGACCAACAAATCTACTTCACACACTGACCAACAGTCTCATCAGCACTAACCTTACGGGAGGTCGGTGGGTTTGACTCACTAGTTTCTCTTCAGGGCCCACAGGGGAAGCTGGATTTCTAGATGAGACACGTCACTGAGAAACGGTATTCTTCTCACTTGGCTCTTTATATCTTTGCAAGCCAATACTCTGATGGGCAGCAAGGTCTTGGCCTGACCAGTGCCTCCTATAAGGTCTTTGTTGATTAAATTTGAGCAGCTCCCCCCAATGTACACAGTAGGATCTTTTACAGTGACCGGTGCCGTGAATACCTCACGAGCAGTTCACGCGTTGTCGGAAAAAATTAAAGATCTGTCCTAGGGGCCAGTTTGAAAGTGGGTGTAAATCTGCAGTCACTGCAATCTGACCCAGGTAAGAATAAACACATTAACTCCTCTAAATGCAGTTCTACTTTGTCAGTCTGATTGACTTTGAATGATCTCTGCTTTTGTGGGATAGAGAACTTGATCATACCACACAGAGTAAGGAGGATGGAGAAAGAATCTTCTTCAGTTAGGTGTCTTGGCATCTGTGTACCAAATTTTGCTACTGCAACAGTGCCCAGATACAGTACACACTCCATAGAAATCTCTGAGCAGCAAGTGTTCAAAGTCCTCTTTTGAATGGGAGGGGTAGGGCTCACTTCTCTTTCAAATCATTAACCATTTTTCCATTGTGAGCAGCAGCATGCCTTTCAGAGACAGTAGATACCAAAAGCTAAGAAACACTCTATTGCTGTCTCAAACTGCATGGGAAGCCACTTCAAGAAAGGTGTGTCTGTGTTTGCTGAGGGGTGGGGTAGGACTCAATGTTGAGAAGACAAGGACCATCACAGAATAGACTGCATTACCAGAGGTTGGGGGAAAGGAAGGTAAGAAAGAGTGAATTCCCTTAACAGTCAGAAACAAAATTAGAGAGATTTTTTGAAATGAAGTGTGTCCTTTGGTGCACAGTTGAATGATCACTTGTAGCTCCAGATGAATCTTCCTTCTCGAAGTATATAGTCCAGAGAGAACTAAAGTTACATAGTTACTGATGTGTCTTAGAGGTTGAATGATGTAGAGATGAATCGTCAAAAAGTGGGTTCTTGACCTCCATCTCCCCCGTCTGTTTTGAGAAAACAGAGGAAAAGAGACATGAGTTGTGAGACACAGCAGGACGGAACAGAGGAAATGGTTGCCCTATTGAAACCGGCAGAGTGACTATTTCCATTCAGACTCTGCTGTCTACCTGAAAGGTTTAGTCTGAGGATGTAAGCAGAGCTGTGAATGCCTCTGATTCAGACAGGAACTAGCTGCTAATTCACAGGCTCTCTTGCTGAAGAGAAAACTGCACGTTAATGGGCCTGTAAAGATGTAATAATATGGCTAATATCTTCTCTCTCAGCCTAGCTGTGATGTACATTAGCATATGAAAAACCTGCTGCAGCTCCCCTCCTGCTACATTGTCCTCCCAGTACTTTATTCACAACAAGAACTAATAATAGTATCAGTGACTGAAACTCCTGTAAAACGTGTTCAATCTTCTTAACGACACAATCCATTTACCGTGAAATTGTAAACACCCATCAAATGCTGACGGGAGATTTGTGCTTAACCTTACACAGGATTCCAGGTCAAAAAAATGGTACAAACCGGATTTGCTATTAACTCGAATAGTGTCCATATAAAACACTAATCCTGTGCATTTCTAGACGGTCTTTATAACTGAATACAACTGAAAACATTTATTATGACTCAAAACTAATCTTTAACATTTTTTGGTGCAAAGGATGAAAAGCTCAGGTATATTTATTTTCTGTTGAAATATTGAGTTACAATTATTATAACTTAGTGATGAATCCTTGCTTTTTAAGAACGAATACCTTACATCTCTTCCAACCCCAACCACTCCCAGGACCAGACATTACTGGGTGGAGTTACACAATCCTAGAGTGATTCCATGCAGTTTAACAGACACTGAGCTTCAGACCTTGCATTTGATATAATAATAATAATCATTGCATTTAATATAGCACCTTATCATGTCGTTGAGGATTGCCTGATATATATATTCACAAAATATATTGTGAAGTAGATTGACTGTGTTTTGTGGGCGAAATTCAGCTCTTTTCACACCTGGAAGGGTCCCATAGCGCTTCACGGGATTTTACTGTAAAGAGCAGTGACTTGGAAGCTTGTTGTATGCCCACTCCTGATCAAAAGTCTCTTGCTAGAAAGAAAATAATCTGGTTCAACTGTAATGCCTTTACCAAACAGTGGGGAAAGCAACTCCAGTGCTCTGAGACGTTACCGTTCGGGAAGGGCACTATGTAAACGCGAGTAGTTGCTACTCTCGGCCAGGTTTCCCACCTAAAATTACATCAGAGGATGCATTGTTTAAAGGCTCCACTCGGTTTCCTATTGTTCACAGTGATGTCTAACGTGTGCACGCACCATTGCATCACACTTCCTGATGTTAACTCTACTGTGACAAGTGGCAGTATTTGATGAGGACAGAAGAAACTCCTTGTAGGAAAACAGGGACTCGAGCACTCTGGGACGCTATCCTGCGTGAGGGACGCTATATAAATGCAAGTTGTTGTTGTTGAGGATTGCCTGATGTTAGCAAAGTCACTGCAGAAACAAAACACGAGCCTTTCCTTGACTTGAGTGTCTTCTCAATTAACTTGAGACGTAGCACAAATGCAGATGTTAAGTTACTTACTGGAGCTAATCCAGGACACTCGTACACTGTGAAATCACCGTCTTCATTTTCTCCGTCCGACTCTGTGGCCGAATCAGCTACTTTGGATTCATCTTTATTTCTGCATTGTAAAAAATACAATGGTGTGAACCGACATCTCAATTTACTGCCTACTTTTGAGGTGTTTCATTGTTTCACGTCTCCCCAAATATCCAGGATAGACTTTGGAATTCACCACAGTAGGTGTTGATAACTGAGCACCCTCCTCTCTGATTATATCAGATTAAAATTAGACACATACTAAAAAAACACCCAACTTTTGTGAACTTTTCCAAAACAGTTTCTTTCAAAGTGGCCATCAACACACAACAGTTCAAACCTTTTGACAACACCAAAGCAAAGCTGAACAAGTTACTTTAACAGCACAAATACTCACTTCTCCATTGATATCATCTGCTGCTTCTGATGTTGGTAGTGGTACATCTGGGCACTGTGTGCCAGCTTCTTGTCACCGTTCTGTTGAACGAGATACAGATTTCATTGAAAAATGCACTTTACATGCTTGAAGAGCAAGATCCAGCCCAAAGTCTTAAATATCCATTTCAGTATTTTAGTTTTGCTCAAGTGAAGTGACTTGTGAGTAGGGAGATATCTCCACTAGTCAAGTCAATGACTACAACAACAACAACAAAATTACATTTGTAAAGCGCCTTTCACGTCGGCAGGATGGCCCAAGGCAGTGACTAGAGGACATTAAGATAGCAAACGAAGAGATTTGGAGACATGTTTTCATGCAGAGTGGCTTATGATATGGAATGCCTGCCAGAAAGCAGTGGTTGAGGCAGAATCTATATTAGTTTTCAAAAGGGAACCAGACAGATGTCTGTCAGGCTTTACGACAATGGAAGTGGGGGCATCAGGATCAAATCTGGAATTTCACTCATCTTCTTGGTTAAGCTTCACACTGAATAGTAGTTTAGCCAAAAGAGCAAAAAAAAACCACGTCACTTTGTTGCAAAACTCACCAAGGATTTCTCAGTGGGCGCGTTGATTCCCACCATGCCATACACTTGATAATCTGCTTTTTGGGTTAATTTCAACTCTCTCTGCATTCTAGAATTACAAAGAAAACACATGCAGATCAGTAAACAAAGGTAAATGCTGTAAATATATTCCTGCACAAACAGGTTTTAGTCAAACTATTAAAGTACTCTAACCACCCGATTTCTAATGGGAAAACAATGATGGGAATTTCATAAAGGTCCCTGAGGTGCTTCCCTGCAGAGCTCAATAAGTCATAAGCAGTAACTGTGACCCTCGTGTTGCTCAGCTAAGATCAATAGCACTCGAAGGCATAAGGCGAGACGATGGGATTGAATTGATCTTGCTTTGAAGGCCAGTGCAGACTCAATGGGATGAATGGCCTCCTTCTATGCTATGTTTCTAAGTAAATGAATATACATTTAGTTCTTTTTCCGAAGTTCCTTCACAGCTTTCCAACTCACCTACACCAGCAGATACCGGCTACTATCAGACCAGAGACTCCTGCTACCGTACACACAATGATCAGAGCTGGGAAGAAAACACAAAATAGGATGCAAATTACTATTACTATGTTCAACATGCTCCTTTCTGCACCCTCCCGTCATTTTATTCCGCGTTTCCGTGGGTAGAAATGCAGATATTATTTGGGGCTATTATTTTCTAGACTGGGCTAGGACTCCATCGCAGTTCGAGAACTGCAATGACCAATTAAGCAGTTCCGGTGAATTAGATTGAGGGAAAGAATATCAGAAATACTCCTGAACATTTGCCTGAATCACAAAACATGCAGGCAAGACCTTGCATATCTTCAATTCAATTCAGTTTGTCGAATGTTATCTGTGTAGTATTAACTGTGACCACTCATTATCTGTGCGCACAAACCTACAGAAAAGATGCAAGTAAAATCCTCAAAGTTCGTACTCGGTTCTAAAATAAAAGTTTGCCGAAAAAATAAAGCGTACTTACTGAGCAGGATGGCATCGCTGGCGGGAACAAATGTTCCTTGTGGACCACCTTTTATAATAACCAATTTGTTGGGAGTGTTTGTGACTGCGCTTGTGGTAAAACCAGGCTCAGCTGTGTTTGACTTTATGTCTGAAGGAGCTTCCTTTAGATTATTTTGCGGCCCAGTAGATTCTGAAACGGGAAATATAAATCATCAACATGTTAGATGATCCTAGTTTTGTCTTTGGCTTCCAAAAGGTTAAGCACATGTTAGATGACTCATTGCAGCGCTCAGAAGCATGAACGCTCTGCACCGTAGGGTGGTGTAATGTGGCCTCAGGTCCTCAATCTCCATAACTCCAGTTCATGCACCTCCTCAGTCTTCCAGAGAATCATTTGATGTCCAGTTTACACAGTATGGGATGGTGGGGGCAGGCAGAGAGGGAGGGGGTCATTTGCCAGTCTGTGGTCTTGGTTCTAAACTGGTTTCATTTTTGTTTGCTGATTTTCTCCCATCCCTCTCCCGAAGGTACGGATGTGTCCAGGCCACTGTTGGACCGATGAGGGTCCATCACTGAAGTGGTCATGCTTCCTATGAGAGCTTAGTCTGCAAGATCAGCAGTTATTCAACTGTATGGGGACACCAACAGCTGAACCCAGATCGTGTCCTCATCTGACACTTTCCACTGAACAGCAGCTAGTAGCAGGAACCTTGGCTGATTTTTTCCCCCTCTGAGAGAATTTTACAGAAAGGAGTTTGTTCAACCAAGTGTGCATGTGCATCTGAAAGAGCTATCCTTTTTCTGTCTCGGCTATGAATAGATAAGTCAGCACAAACAATGGATCAAACTTACAAGCGAATTATTAGGATCGTCTATAGCTGGTGAAGTGCTTTTACCAACTGAGGCACAGATGGAACAGCAGAGACAGACTTAGAAAGAAATGTCAACTAGGTCCTTAATTGGCATCTACATCAATAAGTGTATAGACCTGCAGCTTGGGTTCCTGTACATAGATCCACATGGCTGACTTTGAAGCGCATCCTTTAAGAAAATGATCAATTCCTACGATCTATGGAGGAGACATTAAGCTAGATAAGACTTGAGAACGTGAGACGCTGAAAATTCTGAGCAGGTTAACCCGTGTCCAAAGAGAAAGACATCTTAGCGTTTTAGGCATAGCCTGATGTGATGAATTACTGAGCCAAAAATAAACCTCTTTTTGATGTTAATTAAACCACTGTTTATTTCGAGCATTTTGGTCGATGTTTATAACGGCAGGTGTGGTTTCACTCCCGACGTTGTAGGTGATGCGCAAATATGTATCCACGACACAGACAGTTAATTTTTTTAAAAAAGTAGAGAAAAGGTGGGAATGGCTAACGACAGCTCGTGGTTAACTGATACAGCAGTGTGCATATTACAGTGACAGAGCAGTGTTACCAATCCACGACAGGTAGCAGCAATGCTGTTCAGTTAGCTGTCAAGAGATGTGTGCAGCAGTGTTGTAAACGAAGAACCCCCCCTCCCCTCCCCCGCCAACGCCACCACAGGACGTAAACAAAAGGCCATGGATTTCACACCAAGGCTCGACTTCAAACGTTTCAGCATGTTGCTGGTGGCACACTTACTTACCCTTCGCTGCCAGCTGTAGGGCACTTGGTGGATTTTGCTGATTTGCAAGGACTGCTGCTAAATGATCAATCTCCGCATCAATGTTTGAGACTCCATGGCTCATCCCTGCAGAGAGAGAGAGAAAGAGAGAGACAGAGAGATAAAGGACACATGTCTGAATACTCAGCAAACAGCAGTGCTGTAAATAAATGAAGATGCATTGTATGTAAAATGCTGATTATTGCGGGGCTAAGACGACTTTCCATTTAACAGCTGCCGGTAACCCTTTTCAAAACCTCATGACCTCCAGAGTAAAAGCAACTGATAGCAAAGTAAAAGTGTCAATTGGATCAAATTTAAATATTTTCATTTGAATTAAACAATTCTACTTCTAAGGCTGACTGCATTTCAAACGAATAAGGTACTACGGTACACACTAGTTACTCCATTCAGAAAAAAATGTGTGTAGGGTTAGGTTAACACTTTTACTACAAAAGCCAGGCTTCCTCGATTCCATCAGGGAATGTGCAGTTGAAACACACAGTGAATACTCTAGGCCTTTTATGCACAGTTTTTGCCATGTGCATCTATCTGTGTTATTCGTTTGGATTGCATCAAACGTGGAACAGAAAGGGGAAGAAGAAATACTGTTATTGCAGGCAGCCGTATTTAAAGCAGTACCTGATATGTGAACCTTTCTGTCAAATTAATAGAATTTCAAAATGCTATGCTCTTTGACTCTCAGCGCGGAATCAAACTGAGCCACACAAATTGCAGAAGTCGCAATGCTCGATACCCGATCTTTGCAGAGCTGGCTTAGTTCGCTCTTTCTTCTCTTATTCCACACCCTCTCTTCACCCAACTGCTGCTCACAATGTTCTTCCAAACTGTGAGCAACCCGACGGTCAAATCCAAAAAAGCAAACTGTAATGAACAAGGTAAGAAGCACAAGATGGCCCAGGTGGGATGTATCCCAGTTGAACGAGGATTTGCTTAGAGATCAGGTCGACTTTGGATGACATCTGGGAAATCAGGTCACTGCCCCTGCCTTGTATCATCACTTAGGGATTATTCACCCAATGACTCGGTAGGTAAATGAGGTAATGATTAATATCTAACTGTATAAAAATGAGAAGGTTGCATTTGTGCTAAATTAGTTTGTCTTTGCAAGGGCAGCAATTGCAGCACTGACAACCTCAGCATCCCTTAACTAAGCAGTGGGATGAAAGGAGAGCCAGGGATTTTCCCTCTCATTGGCATTTAGTGTGTAATGACGTTGGATGAGAATAGGACTGTGTTAGGGCGAGACGCTTGTCTGAATCCATGCCAACACTCATTTTCCAGGCTCCCATTTGAAGAATGGGCACCTGTGAGGTACCAGAGAGAAACCATCTCCTGTGGCACATTATCACAGCACGCGACACTGCCCTGTTCGGCAAAGGAGACTGGAATAAAACAGATGACATTTATTAAATATTAAAGCTCTGCGTGTCACTGTTTTGTTTAAAAGCCTAACAAGAAAAAACAAACACAGCAGAACCGAGCTCACATAATACCCATCTTTTAACAACTCAAGCTGGATCCCTTCTGCTGCAATTAGATGATTAGCAGAGCTTTAGTGTTTCCATCGGCACGGTCGGTAAAGTCACTCAGCGTGAAACTGAATCATAAAATAAGATATAAGCTTTGATCTCCACTTCTGAACATTGTCCAAAGACTTCTGCTGGAAAATGCAAATGTTTTCAGATGATGACAGAAATGAGTTTGACTGACTCACTCTTTCTCACCCGTTGCCTAACCATTGCCTTTTAACACTCATTGCTTACGCTCACAAGTGAAGAATCACCACGTGTACAGAACTTCAGAGTGCCCCAGTTCATTGGGAAGTGTGCACCAGCAGGATTTAGTGCCTCCAGGTAAAGAGAAGTTGGAAGGGGTAAAAAAAGGACCGCACGTGACAAGTTCAAAAAGTACTCTCTGGTCCCTATAGTCTTCTCCCAGTTCCACGTAACTGGTGTGTAGAAGAACCTCTATAAAACAGGCCTCTGTAATGCTGCTCAAAGCTGCCGCTTCATATTCACTGCAACAGCCTTGCTCGATGGTAGGTTGTAGGTTCAAGCCCCACATTGCGCCTATTCGAAAAACAGAAGGGCATTTCTCTCTCCTGGTGTCTTGGCCAACAATCCGCCAATAAAATTGATCACTTCATGGCTGTTTGTGGGACATTGCCGTGCGCAAATTGGCTGCTGCATTCGCCCTCAAATATAGTCACTACACTTCACAGTAAATCGTGTGAAGTGCCTTGGGGCGTCCTCCTGACTTGAAAGGCACTCTACCAAATGCAAATGATTATTATAGCATAAATAAAAGAAAAAAAACACAAGCAACACGCAGGCCAGCACAATTCTGACTGCAAATATGTGACTGCAAACAATAATTGTAGGCAAATTACCTGTGAAAATGCTCCAATTTGAAACAGGTACTGTTTAGGTAGTCTAAACCTACAGAAGCAAAATTACCTTCCATCATCCTCACTAATGCATGAACCCAACGTGTAATGTAATTTGTTCACAGGGGTTCACCAACTGAATGCATATCCTTGCAAGTACTGGGGGGTAGTAAAGAGGTATGTGTCAAAGTGTAAATTGACAACCACTCTACGTAAATGGATAACATAAACAGAGAGGGAAGCACGAGTCAAGGAATGAGAATGTTGGATTAGGAGAGCTGAACAACAACCATGAAATTGACGATTGAAAAATAAAAGCTATAGAACACCATCTTGTTTTCTTCCTAAATAAAGCTCCCAATCCCACATAGGACAGGCATGGCTTGCAACCCCCAGCAGCTATCGTCCAGCTGTGTGTGGCAAAAAGCACAGGCCACAGGGAGCCAGGCAATTACCATATCACACACTCTCCCTAGACAAGAAGAAACTGGTGGAGCTCTGAGCAGGAGGGCTTGAAGCAGACACTGGAGAGTTAGTACAGATGTAAATGAGATGCATGCACGGTGGCAAAGTGCAAACACCCGTGTGTCCGTAAGACAGATGGGTGGGATAACAAAAAGCCTCCTCCATAATAGTAGCCTCCTGTGGTTCACAATGAGCAGCATCTGCTACAGCAACATCTCTTACAATTTATTTCAGGACAGGACAAGTCCACCGGTGGCCGGGTGGAATAGCGAGGGAACCAGCTTGAATTCATTTCAATATTTAAAATACAGAGTGCGGCCTCAGGTAACACCTATAATTTCAGAGACAACGCAGTGGATTAAATAAGTAAACACGCAGGCCGCTATAGAAGCAAACTCTACGATCAAGAGTTAATAATCTTATCCTTTTCACGAAATTATAAACGGCACCAACTGATTATATTTGAGACATATAAATAATGTCCCACTGACATTATTATGCTCGTGCTTAATTTCAAAGAAATTTGTGCAATCAGTAAAACTGACTGCTTTGTTTGCCTACAATTTCTTTGCTTGGCAGCAATTAAACATTCTGTCTAAGCACTGTAATAAAAGCAAATCCAAGGATTATTATGATGGTCCAATAGCCTTTTCAGTATCTCTTCCAACTGTTTTTTTTTCATGTGAGAGCCCAACTCACCAGTATAAAAGAAAAAACAAGCTATTCATTTTTCTTTTGGTGGTCGGTCGTTTGCGCCTTGGGACATGAAAGGCGCTATACAAACATCATTTGGTTTTGTATTGTATTGTTTGGACCAACTCATCCCAAAAACAATAGGGCGAGCACCTTAATTTTCCAGAGTGCCGTCCATATTGCTAACCTCCCCTGTTAAGCACGCTGTAAGAATACTACTCATTACTGTATATTTCACAAATCAGCTTAGCAGCTAGTATATCTTATAAAAAATGTAAAAGGTTGGAAATCTGAGCTAAAAATTTCCCAGCATTTTGAGTCTTTTTTTCCCCTTTTTTAATAATAGATTCACTGCCACTTATTTTCCAGAAATGATCGAAAAATACTGCTTTTGGTCTGTTCTTCATTGTTGCCCCTCTTCCCTTAAAAGGGATTTCAGTCAAAGGGCAAAACTGAAATTTTAATCCAACTTTCTCTTTCAGATTGGGTGGATTTCAAGTAGTTCTGATTTTATTAGCTGGGTGGTATTTGTTAGAAATTACAAGCAGACTAGTTTTAAACAGTCATTTTCTTTTACACAAGAGCTTTCATAAGGGAAGAAACAGGGCCACAAAATCTGCCCCTTGCAAAGAGGGCCTTGGTTTTTTTTTGACCTTTGTAAATCAAAACACTTCCCCAAGAGGTGATTTTCAACTTCACAACATTTCTGTTTTACTTCATTATTTGAATGCTACATCAAACCAGTGATGAAAACGCAAGAGCCCCAACAATCTGCTTGGGTCACTGCCAGGAAAGCAAATCAATACTAATTTTATCTTTTCGCATTGGTGAACAACTTATCAAAATTTCAATCTATTCAGTTATTCTTGAGTGTGCAAAAGGACCAATCGGTCCAGCAAATCTCTTACGTCAGTAATATCACTGAAGATATGACGCCCCCCCAAAAGTCTTGCAAGAAATATGATCTTCCCAGGTAAAATTGGATTACATAGAACATACTTCGATAATATGCATTAAGAGCAAAACTTGCATTTAATATAGTGCCATAGCACGTCACTGCAATGTCTCACAGTGAATCATGGGATTTTGCTGTGTAGTGACCGTAATTCTAATAATAATCTTCATTTGATAACAGCACCTTTCACTTGTGGAGGATGTCTCAAAGTGCTTCACAAGATTTATTGTAAAGTATAGTGACTGTGTATTTTGTAGATTCACGATGCAGTCAATTTGCCCATAGCAACGTCACAAACGGCTGTGAAACGAATGACCAATGTGTGAATTACTGCGCTCAGCAAAGAAAAGATTAAAAAATATTAGCACAACATCAAACACAAACAAAATGGAGTTTCAGCACAATTGTGACATTGATTTAGCTTCAAGGACTTTCAGAATCACACCAGAGTTTGCTGTTCAGCTTCAATCTTCTAATGAGAAACTATGGAACTTCAAGGGCACATGATTTTAAGCCATCCTGGTCCACATTAGACTGATGTGGACCAATCTTACTAGGAAGCCA